GTTAAGTGCTTTACTATAATCACTAAAAAAAAAAATCAGGCTTAACTCTCTTCGACAATTGAGGGCAAGAAAAAAAGAAGGTTGGGTAAGTACTTTATTTCTTGTTTTTCATATTTATTCTTTATCATTATAAAAGTAACTAAAATTAAAAGTACAGATCTTTTTAATTTATTTAAGACTAGTTTAGATAAAATAAGTAATAATAATAATAATGGTTCACAAGGCATGCACTCGAGCAGCTCGTGGGTAATGTAATTTGATAGCTCCCCGAGTGATTTACAACTTATAATGGCGGGGATAGCAGTTAGACACAGTTCAAAGGGAAATAAAACAATAAAAGTTAATTATAAATAGATGTATAACATTACGAACTTAGAGCTACTTAGGATAAACGAATGTAGTTTCATGCTACATTTGAAGTCATTCTAGAAAGAAAAAAAAAGGGGTTAATTTAGGTTTATTTTGATTTTTTTTGGTGGTTACGAGGTTGGTCGAATTGACTAATCACGTTTTGAGATAGGGTAGAGAAAATAACATATAAACTATACGGATTTTGTAAAAAAAAAACGTTTGAAATGCATTTTGGAGGTTTTAGGGATAACACAAAGGAAATTTAAGATTTTTGAGATCACGAAAATGTATTTTTAATTTTAAAAATAAAATTACTTTGTACTATTCAAAACATATACTCAATATATTCATGGACAAATCTTTATTTTATTTTATTAAAAATACTTCACTAAGAAATATGACTTTTTGTATGAGAAAGACTTGTAATATTAACTGAAAGACTGCCAAATTTCATAAAGATATACCCAATATATTGAGAGTTAAGAATTATTTTATAAAAAACTTTAAAGGAGCGCAAAAGGTCACGCGACTCAGTCAAATTGACAGACCTCATGTCGAGAGAGTTAAATATTGCCTTATAAAATTAAGAATTTAACTTAATACTATTAAAATATGGATTATTAGCTAATATTTTATGCTATACTAATTGGTATAACAAACAAAAAGTAGATTAATAAAATTTTGAATGTCACTAAAACCTCGTGACATGTGCAATAAAGGATGCCTGTTGTGATAAGGTTAATATTTGTTGTAATTTTGAAAGTTTGTTTATTATTATTAAGGTCACATATATGAATTGAATAAACAAATGATGTGAACATGACTTGAACCACAATGTAATGTATTTTTCTAATGAACTCGTACGTTAATGATCAATAAATTATCTCTTATTTGGTTTCTAGGAATCTACCTGGTTGTCATCACATTGTAGATCATCACGAGGTTTCTTCCATTCAGAGAGGAATTCTGCTAACAATCGTTTTTCTTCTTGCTTTTTTACTTTCTCCTGAGAAAAACAATAAAGTTAGTACTTTCTATTACTTGTTATTAATGATCACATTATAAAATATAATGATACAGAAACAATGTGCAAGAAATTCAATACAGGTAATAGAAATTTAAGAAACCCATTTTTGAACACAAATACTGTTAAAAAAAAGAAAGAAAAAGAATGCCTAACATACAATCTTCACTTCCAGGTTTCTTTTACACAAGTTGATAACCAAACAGAACACACACAACAGAAATATTTGTTTAACTTAAAACAATATAGATTTTGTTCCCTGTATACTTTTGCTCGTTCTTCTTTCTTTTTTTGTTTGGCTTCTTCTAGTTTTCTTTTAATTTCTTCTTGCCGTTTCAGCCTCTCCTCCTCCAACTTCTTCCTTTGTTCTTCTGGATTTTCTGGTAAAGCTGTTGGCTGTTTCCCCTCAACCTTCTTAAATGGAAGCTTACTCTGGGTGGGCTTCTTGGGTTTCTCTATATAGCAAGAAACAATGAATTAGCCTTCAAGTTCCCTACTATAAAATCAAGAGACTGCTTATTACTAAGAACATAGTTTATTGAATATAAAATAATGACCACTTCAAATACACAATTTGTTTCTGATTTTTTAAGTTTAGCTAACTTTCTGTTCTATTGTTTAAAAATCAGAATCTAATTTGCTATTATTTATAATCTATAATATATTTGAATTCATTAAAAAATCTTGAATTAAGGTTCTTGAAGGGAAAAAAAAGAAGAAGCCCTACTACTAAAAATATTTCAGACTGGACATGTAAGGAGAGCAAAAACTGAAAATTCAGATATAGAAATACCTTGGACCAGTGTGCACTTTTCTTGTATTACTACATCAGATGCATGTCAACACTGTTGACTATTTTTGGTATTCAGGAAATCAACAATACTCATTCACACACAACATATGGTAAATAGTGAATAAAGAGAGTGCAGTTAACCATCAGAAGTAGAGTTTCAGGCTCACATTTTAGGTACATATGAAATCCATACAATCAAGGATAAGGCCTTATCATGATTTGATGAACCACTTGTAGACCTGGGAGGATTAGCAAGCTTACTACAGTTTAGTATTGATTAAGTGAATGAACAGTAATAAAGACAACCACTACTCAGTTTATCAATTAGTTTTCCTTCAAAAGATTTATTTAAGGTTTTTCACTTCATCTACTTACCTTCTGTTTTTCGTTTTACTTCTTTTTTCTTTGGTGTGCCAGATTCTTTATTTTTCTTCTCTTCTTTACCTTTTTTCCCATCTACAGAAGGAAAAGTTACTGTATCCACCTGAATATAAGGAACCAAGTTTTTTTCTTAGGAGTACTGCAGAATAATGGCAATGATCCATTAGAGATGTCTGTAAATTTCATGTCATCAATTTTATGTTTGATCTTCAGGCTTTCCTGGAAGATAGAGGAAAAAGATGAATGTCTTAGGTAACAAAATTAAGTAACTATCCATTATAAACATCCATTAATTATTTCATACTCTAAAATTCAACACACTCAGTAAACTAACATTCATGGATTTTGAGGTATAAAAATTTCATTGTGAGTGTACAGATTTCAACATGAAAAACACAACAATCACAGTATAGATTGACATATTATCAACACCCACCAGACTATGGATTACAATATAAACCCCAAACACACAAGTCAGAACACTGCTTTAGCCCTTTCCAGACAGGTTATGGGTGAAGGCCGTGTCATCTCGTTTGTTGACTCGCATTCTAAATTTTAATGAACTACTGTTTCATGAATATATGTCAATAAGTAGATTATAATTCAAATTTTAGTATTATACATTACTCAATTTGTTAATTTAAAAGTAAATATTAAAAAAAAACTGTTAAACATCAATTTTTGTGTGTCACCTGGTATGTTGAATGCAGCACTAGTTCAAATTAGATGTTTCTGATGTCAAAGTATTAAGCTTGTAGTTTCAAATGAATTAGGAACACAAATTACCAATATCGACAAACTAGAATATAAAATAAGAGCCTCTTATCTTTTCAATTTGCCAAGATATTGCTCATGTAATAAATCAAACAGTGGTACCACACCCACTTACTTCTATATACAACATGAATAACCATTTGAAAGTTCAGAATGTCATCTAGTGGCTTTTTCAGCCATCTTAATGTGTCTGGAGGCCATCTCTTTCTTTCAAACCAAGATTTCAAGCAGGTGGGCTGTGCCTTTAGTCTACTCAAAATTTCATATTTTGTTTAGACTGAAATACATCTTAGTTACTAAGCTTGATAAATTATAGTGGAACTCTCTGATACCGATATAGTAATGTATGATTTTTTGGTTATTCAACTGTATATATAAAACCTAAAAAAAATATTTTGTTTCATATCCTCCATGTGCAAAATTTTAAAAGGCTTAGCAACTTGCTTCAAGCATCAACTGAGTGCAAAGGTCATAACAAGAAGAGATAACTGTTTGCTTTACTTTATTTATTGTTCCATATAGAGGCATAATTCATGTTTATTTCCCAATTTTTTATGGTGGTTGTGAGATCGGTGAAAATCTACTGAACCTGTACAGAGATAAATTATTGAAAAGAATATAATAAAATATAAAGTTTTTTCTTAAGAAATGTTTTATAACTATCTGGACATCATAAAGATTTTGCATGTGAAATTTGAAAATTTTCTGATGCACAAAAGTATTTTTAATCTTAAAATAAAAATTACTTTGCATGTTAGATATACAACATGCAAAAAGAAAAAAAGCCATGAGAAAAACATTGCTTTACAAACCTTAAGAAAATTTGATATTCTGCATATGAAAGCATTGTAATGTTTACTGATAATCTAACAAACTTCGTTAACATATGCTTACTAATTTAAAAGTTATAGCATGAAAACTAGAACAAGCACAAATTGGTTACGAGATCAGTCCCAGGCTACAGGCTCGGCCAATTCAATAGAGATCATAACTTCAAAGTAACCATCATAGTTTCCATACTATAACTTTCAATAAGTTTTGTGCATCTTCACAAAGTTTCACAAGCTTTCAGCAAACATTACAAGTCTGTTGTTCAGAAGAAAGCAGAATTTTATATAGTATTTTTACTAAGTTTCTTACAAAGTGTTTTCATGTTAAAATTAAGAAAACTTTTCTTCATCTGAAAATTGTCAAATTTCATTTGCACAACCTCTAAAACCTTCTAAATAAATATCAACCTTTTTATTCAGCAAAACTCTGTATTTTATCTGCTTTTTTCTCTACCCTAACTCTGTATGCACTGTCATATTGACCGAAGTTGTAACCACCATAGAATATATAAAATAAATCTAAATTACTTTTTCTCTTTCTACAATTGTACTAGAAAATGACAGCTGTCTATCTCAAACAGCTTAAAACTTGTAACATTATATGTCTATTTCTACACAAGTTTTATTGCCCTTTGAACTGTAACTAATAATCTAACCATACAATTTGTAAATCAATTGGCAAATGTGTAGTTTTGTTCCCATATCAAATTACATAACACACAAACTGCCTGTGATTATACTACATGAAGAATGTTCATTATCATTTTGTTTTATGTTATATCTTACCTAATCTAACAAGTTTCTAATTTTTACCTTTTAGTTACTTTTATAACAATAAATAAAGAATACACATGAAAAACAAGAAATAAAGTTCTATGTTTTTTTTTTGCTATCAACTGTTGACTAAACATAAGCCTACTTTATTTTATTTTTTAATATTAGTGATACTACCACACTAAATAATTTATCTTATCTAATTAAATACTGCACCTGAGAAAACAGATTAACATGGAAAAACAATGTCCTATAACTATCATAATTTATCTGGCTTTGTAAATATTCAATAACAGCCTTTAAAAATTCACCAAAGCCTCTCACTGATTCCCATGAGAATAAATTTGAAACTGAACGATGAAATAGGCAATGCACTGTACATATAACAATGTAGTATAATACATCATTTGATAAATGAAAACGTTGGCTTTTTATGGTTGTAAACATAGTATAAAACACCAGTACAGCCTGAAAACCGAGCAGATAAAACAAATATTCGTATCCTCAATATAGAATGAGTCGGTTTTATAAGTTTTAGTGTTCTTTTGCAGTACCATACAACACTCAAATATATTTAGCCTCTTTTTTTCTCTTCTTCTTCAAGTCATTAATTTATGACACTCGTTTAGTCATGAAGTTTTTTTATTCTCAATTGGTTAATAATAAGATAAAGATGAAACATATTTTAGATGTTCTAATTAAGAGATTTCTTTACAGTATACAAGCTATCAATAACTTACTTTAACTATCCATATTCCATCACAGGGCAGCACACACTGCTTCAAAAATAGTTTACTTTTATCTCGGGTATAAGAGCCTTTTTTTCGACTGAAATAAACAAAATAAGATAGGAAATCATAAATAACATATTACACAGTAGCGTAGCGATGGTAATATGACTCAGTATACAGCAAATGGTTGTGGATTAAAAACAATCTGATCATGTAGTAAAAATTTGGCCTAAAACAAATTGATTTAGTTTACTTAAAAAATATTTTGAATTCGCAGAAGTCCGACTTGACAATTCTCTGCTTCAGATGTCAAAACATTTTGAAATTTCTTGTTTTTTTATTTTCATATTTCAGACATAACCAACTTTCCTTTTCAAATTTCACATTTGATCTGTTTCTTACTTCAAATTTCAGACTTGCTTTCTTTAAGTGACCACCTTGGCCTGCTTTCAAATTTCAATTGTAACCTATTGTGAATGAAGAAATTAGTGAATTTTACAAGTCTAAAACTCAAACTAGGAGCAGTCATTAATTTCAGTCACTATTTAGAGACAAATATCCAAAATGTGTGAGGTTTGGGGTTGAAACTGTTTATAGCTCAAAAGGTTAATTTTTTATGATTCATGTCTTTCGTACCATTTCACCTAGAAACTTAAAATATTGCATGACGTCGGTTCTTTTCAAAAAGAATTATTTTATTACAAAGTTCAATTGAAAAAATGAGTAACTTATTCTATATACACAGCTTGCTCTTCAATGTTTTTAAATGCACAAGAGCCTAAAAATGACTGACAACAAAGACACTGGCATATTCATGTATTAATAAAATGTTACAAACATCATGGCTGACAAAACATTTTTCTAATGATACCACTGAACTAAAAGTGATAAAAATTGCATCAACTTACTTAACTGCCCCAGCTGGAACTATATATTTGGATCCGTTCGGCTTGTCTATTTCGCATACTTCGTAAGAATACTTTGCTGGATCAGGTCCCATGCCTTTGCTTTTATCATGTGCTAGACTATAAAAAATACATACCAATAAAAACTTTTGATACACAGAAGGTGTGCTAGGTATTAACCCTTTCTCCACAGGTGCCCTTCACTGCACATAACACAAGGTTTTAGTGTCTTACATTCACAATTTTATTATACTACTTTTTGTTTATGTTAAACCAATTAGAATAGCATAAAATCTTACCTAATAATCCATATTTTAATAGTATATAAGTTTTAAGTTCTTAATTATAAAATGAAATATATAAAAAAATCCTGAATTTCCACTACTGCTACACACGTGACACATTTTGTCTTAACATGTCACCATCCCTATTTTATCCATCACCCCTCAAAAATGTACGAAATTAAACGTAACATACTCTCTACAAAATCATTATTGCTCAAAGAGATCATTATTTTTATAGCCTTCAATTTTGTTTGGTTACAGAGCTATCGATTAGAAAATCAGACCCCTCCTGCCATACCCATTTGTCACATCCTCTCTTTTGTCGCATAGTTAGAAAGCCAGGGAATTTTGTTAGAAATAAGTGAATTTGTCTACTTTTTGCATGTTATTAGTCCATATTCTTTGGTGTATTACTTAATTAAATAAAAATTGTTACATGCTTTACTATAATCACTACATATATTTATATTACAAAAAAAAAAAAGTTTAACTCTCTTCGACACAGTTCAAAGGGCAATAAAACTATAAAATTTAATGATAAATAGATGCATAATGTTACGAACTAAGAGCGACTTAGGATAAACAAATGTAGTTTCAGGTTACAATTTGAAGTCATTCTAGAAAGTTTACGAAATGCTAAAAGATTGAAATCTGACCATTTGCCCACTTATATTAACAATTGCTGGGTTGGGTAGTTAATATTCACTAGGCTTAAGTGTAGAATTTTTTTTACTGTTGTTGGAAATAAAAATAATTTAGTTATTTTACATGTCTAGTTTTGTCACAAATACTGTTCCATTAATCTGAAGTATTCAAGATTACAAGTGTGGTGACTTTACTATCAAACATATTCTAACCTAAGTCTAGGCGGTGACTTTACTATCAAACATATTCTAACCTAAGTCTAGGCGGTGACTTTACTATCAAACATATTCTAACCTAAGTCTAGGCGGTGACTTTACTATCAAACATATTCTAACCTAAGTCTAGGCGGTGACTTTACTATCAAACATATTCTAACCTAAGTCTAGGTGGTGACTTTACTATCAAACATATTCTAACCTAAGTCTAGGCGGTGACTTTACTATCAAACATAT